ATAGTCTGCATCTTGACCAACCTGGTTTCGTGTAGAAGGAAGCTGATCTGCACGGGCTGAAGTAAAGGAAGGAGAACATTTTTAGTTTGACAGTAGAGGAGAGGAGGCAGAAGGTTCTGAGTTGAGTCATGAGGTCAAAGTTGGAGGTAGATGCAAACTGACAGATGTGCTTTATGTCTAGTTTCTATGCAATGTGTACATTTTGTTTTGGTACATAATGATCTCATGGTGCTTTCTGTTCTTTTCATTGTTCCTTGAAAAAAAAAAAATCACATCTGCCTCAGGCTATTTTTTTTACTGTCACCACTTGTTTTTCACACTTTCAAAGAATATGCTCATTGTACATTTACAGAAGTTTTTTTTGTCTCGGATAAAGATGCCTGTGCTGACTCATTAAAATCATCTTGTGACACTGCTGGTAAAATAAACAAAGTATGTAGGCATGTGCATAATTAATAATCAGATGTATTAGAAATTATTCTGAAACAATTGATAATCAATGAATAATCATACAAAATACGTCGTTTCAGCTTTCTCAAAGGCAATATTTACTTTGTCTTCTATAATGGTAAAGTGAACATACTGGGATTCTGGCAGCTCTGACAACTTTTGACGGACTTTTCACTGTTTTCTGATATTTTATAGGTTCAATAAATAATCAAATAATTTAAAAAATAGCTGGCAGATGAATCCAGAAATCAGGCTCTCTTTCAAAAATGACAAATACTCTAAGGAGACAGTCACACACACACATGGGACTAGTATTGGGGAAAAAAACAACTCAGAAGCATCTCTTCAAGCTAATGGTAGTTCTATGGGTGTGGTACAAAGTTGAGCCACTTAGCACTAATTGTTAAGATTTCCATCTTTAAGTGTCAAACACAAGTTATTTAAAAGTAATAAAGCAAATTAGGTGCATGGAACTAATTACAAGAAACACACATTCTTGCAAAAAGGATCATACCTGAAGGAAAAATTAGCAAAAATGACCACACATTCATTAAAATCTGTGTGCAGACTTTAATGAACAACTGGTGAAAGTTTCTTAAGCACTTCACAACATGCTGATGAGTCCTTGTTCAAACCAACGTACATTATCACTTCCACTTTGCAACAAGTGCAAGAAGCCACTTTAACGGGATTACGATTTAAACCATTTTTAGTGAAATGTCTCAAACATAAAGCGATAAGCCTCCTTGTTTGGTATTTTTAAACATAATATAAATGATGCTTTACTTGCCTGACTGGTGGATTCCCCTCAGTGACTGAAGAAAACAACACAAATGAGTGTTTGTCCTCTCCTATGAGCCGCTCCTCAGCCATGGGTCACATGAAGATGATACTTTCCTTCATCACATGTTTAGTCTCCGTGGCCTTTTCCCATTAGCACTGTCTGAGACTCCCCTCACTAACTTCATCAGGCAGCATCATGGGAACATGCCGTAATGTGCGACAGTCAAAGACCACTCTTGTATTTACTTAGTTTCTGGGCAACATTAGACACTTGATGCTAATGTTGTAGCTTCAGAAAATGATGCGGGAATCATATTTAATAGAAAATTAGACCAAAACCTCCAACTCCACACATAATATCAGCTCAATCAGTGCTTTGTACCTTTGGTTTGGTGTGATCTGGTGCCACTTTTAAGTCCATCCCCCTCAATCAGCAAACAAGCTTCAGCTGTGTTCTCTCAACATATCTTGTTACCAGGCATGTCAGTGAACTCAGTCCTAACTGAAAAAAATTACAGGCTTGTGATTCCAATGGATGCAGAAAGTCACCAAAAGAAAAAAGAAAAAGAAAATAGTGTGTATTTAAGCCTGAAAGATACGATTGACATGCAGAATATTAGTAATTTTTGCTAGAGCTAGAGCACTAAAACTATCACCACCGCCAACAGCATCTATCTTTAATCATCCAAAAAAAGAGAGAAGACATTCTTACTTTAGATCTGCAGAAATCCACAGAAGTTTCTGTCAGTCCTTCCTCTAACTCTAAACTTAACTCAATGCCCTGGGCCTGAAAAGATGTCAAGCTGTCTAAAATTCCTTCCAAGACAGAAAAGGAAAATCTTGAGCAATACATTAAAAACTTTCAGAATAACTTTCACTTATCTGGACAGCTTGTACAAAATCAGTTTTATTATAGATGTTCCAGATTTTAGGGAAATCCAACCAATTCTTCAGGCCTCCAGTAACCATGTCTATGACTATCAGTGCAGTTTGAATTAATGCCGTGTAGGAAAGAGTTATTGGTTTGGTTTTAAGTGATGGCATCATGGACACACATAAGTATAAATTACATTTAACATATGCAATATGGCTAGGACAACTGTGAGTGGCAGGGAATTAATTCGCCAGATTCATAATGATTGAGCATTGTGTGTATTTAACGAGGCCATACTTATAATGAAGATGCAGGTAGTTTCAAAGTAACAGACAGATTACTGAAGAGTCTAAACTGCAATATCAACAAATGCATCTGACAGTATTTGGATTTTTTTTCCAAAAAATACACAAAAAAATGCATATTTGGTGGTTCCAGCAAGCAGCATGTAACACGTTCTTTACAAAATCAGAAGAAACACTAAACATACATACAGATGTCATATCATACAGTTAGTGTGGAGGTTTGTGGCTTCTTTTGTTGGTACTCAAAATAAAATAGCTTGCACTTTTTCCTGAAAAGACATTGGTCTTTCACTGTTGCACATCATGACAGTGTAAAAAATATTAGCATATAACCAATAAAAAACAATTACTCACAATAGAACTGTCTTTTAAAATCTGATGACAAAATACTACCGTCAGATAATATATCATATTTGCAACAGAAATAAACACACTCATCCAACTCAGCTCAAAGTGGCCTGGTTGGCTCTGGGGCTGCAGGATTGAATAAGACGTACATTTTCTAAAAAAGAGGCAGCAACAAAACATTAATCCAATGTGAATGTACCCTGCGAATAAAAGCAATAACACATGAAAACATAAATGACACATCATGACTTGCGACACAAAAAACAGATGCTTTCGGTCAAAAAGTTTTTTGTTTATTGACTTAAAATATGAGTATGTTGGCATACTTAAAATGTTGTTTTCACCATTTTGGTAGTTTACATTTCCAATGTTTCAGTACAAAATAACTCACATTTCATTGGATCACACTGGGTTGAATGCAGAAAAATAAATATCCACTGATGACAGAAATGGGATATTTTAAACATATCTTTCGCATACAACATAAGTCATACCATTATGTATGGCCACTGTATCCAACATAATCCAATCTACTCTTACTGTAGTACGCTAGCTGTCATAATACAGTTTATCCTTTGCCTTCAGTATCTTTTGCACAATGTTCATAATGCAAGATTTGGGTGTGGCAATACTTCAAAAAAACGTCAACTTAAGATAAGGATAACATAGAGTGCATTACAAATCCAAATTAAAATGAATTCTTCATCTTCATGTTGACTCTTGGTGGTCAGTATGTGGTGTTTGCCCACTTTCTGTATAGGAAAAAAACCTGATGATACTGTAAACCAAGACAGCTGTCAATTCTATGTACAAATCATTTGCTGTGAGTCTCATTAACATCTTTAAAGAAGAAATGCTTCATCCACAAATCATATGAAAATAACCAGAATCGCATCATGAAAGAAATATGGTGCCCTCAATGTTTGTGGTCATGCCTGTTACATACCACATTTTTAATTTAAATTTAATGTAATGTCAACAAACCGATTCCTGAAGCCAACCAGGCTTAAAGTATTAATAACTGATGCACAATTAGGATACAAATCGCAATTTGGTTGTCTTCATATTGGTAGAATAGAATTTGAAACTGCAGTGTACAAGTTGGACTGACAACAGGTCATTTTTTCACCACTAGAGGGTGCCGTTGCTCTACTATGAAAGATGGTTGGCCTTTACAAAAGAGTTCCTTGGACATGTCATTTTGTAGAAATTTAAAAGATAGTGTAAAATCAGAACACACATCTTCATAAATGGACATCTTTGCGTGTGCAATTAACCATTGTGTATCAGGTCAGAAATATCCAAATGTACACAAAAAGAATATCATCATTGTATAATCATTACTTTTGACAGAAAACTGCAAGTACATAAAACACAACCAATGTACTTATTGTCTCCACCATAAAAACCACAACAATCACATTGAACACAACAGCAGTTCACTGACTGTGGTGCCACAGAGAATATTCACAACTCAGTTCGTCAAAAGAATCATTTTCAGACTGGCTCAAAATCTCTGGAATATCTAGAAAACCAAAGATGGATATCACAAAAATAACAGATCTCTGTTGACTGAAAGTAAGGACACAAGTCAAGAACTTTTTTATATTCCATTAGACACAGGAAAGCTATATCCATTTAGAAAGGCAATGTACAGAAGTTCTGATAAAAACACATGCCAGTCAAGAAGATGGCAGGGAAAATCAGTAAAATGCAGAAGCCCGTGAACACAAAATAGTTTTAATCTTGGCTTTCAGTGACACATTACAGATACATAGTTTTGTTTGAAATGCAAAACCACCCTGCACGTTACACATCTAGCTACCCACAGAGAGAAATGATAAGAAATGTGAATCCCCAACCCTGTGACAAAGACAACCTTTCCATTTGTGTCAATTGCACTTCAATAATTCCCCTGCTAAGCATTTTAAAGCCCTTTTCTATTGTTTTCCACTTAGTTCATGTTCTCTCTCAGCTGCACTTGCATGAATCGGTAAGGAGTTCTTCAAGGACAGAGGCGAAGCTTTCCTCTGTGGACCTTACCTTATGCAGACTTTCACCCACATATACAGCCTTGCTAAATGAATGCACCAACACAAACATATACCGCAAGAGAAAAACATTAAGGATCTCTAGGCAGAAGAAACTCCACAGAAACAAGTACATGGATGCTTCTTTCTTTTCCTTGTCCTATGTTAATTCTTTCAATTGTGTTACCAACCATCTGAACTTTCAGTCATTTACGTAGACTCCCTGGGAATCCTCCTATGGAAGACCACTGACTGCCTCTGCTGGAACTGCTGCTTCCTCCTTTTTTTCTGGTCCCAGCGGCACAGCAGTATCATCTTAAAGGTTGTACGGAAAGTCTTGTTGCACAGGGCGTAGCACATGGGGTTGACTGTGCTGTTGACGTAGCACAACCAGTACCCTACTGCCCACAGGGTCTCTGGGATGCAAACTTTACAGAAGGCATTGATCAGCACCATGATGTTATAAGGTGTCCATGTGATGATGAAAGCAAAGAGGATGGCACTAAGAGTTTGAGCTGCTTTCTTTTCCTTCACTAAAGACATGCGCTTCCTTTTGGTGATCTGAGTTCGAGCTCGGGCAGCGAAACGCTTCGCCATAGCCGCCTCTTTGAAGGATAATGGGACTGAGGGGGACTTAGTGGCCGTGCTGGTGGTGGTACTGTCAGTGGCAGTGGTTGTTGGGGTATCATCCAGAGAGGCTTGGTTAGTGGCAGCCTGGATGGTTGACATCGACTGAATCTTGCGCGAACAGAAGCGTTGGTGGTAGCTGTTTTCTGAATTGTTTGTCCCCTCCGGAGTAATAGTGGCAGTGGTGTTGGTGGTGACTGATGAAAGGCTGTCTCGGTTATACTCCGCTCCCCTGAGGGGATCCTCCTCCGAGGCTGCATCTAGATCCTCACAGGAGGTGAGCTGGGAGTTGACAGCAGCCTTTATGCCCGGCAGGCTAAGGACAATGGAGAAAATAGCATGACTTTGGGAAATCACCTCCCTTCCCCCACAATCCTCATCCTCTGAAGACCCAGAGTGGTCCAAAGAGATCGCAGCATCGTTGTTGTTCCAGCTGTCACTGCTGCTTTGGTCTGCATCACCGTCTCCCTGCCGGGTACTACCGGGTCTCCACGAACGAACCCCAGGCCAGCAGTGGAAGCGTCCAACCAGCTCTTGACATGTGCTCTTTTTCTTCGACAACCTGGTCAACTCATAACTGCTGCAACTTCTCGAACTTCCTGTCTGACGGACAAAACCGGATTTCTCTCCTCCATTATTCCCACCTTTTCCGCCCATTCCACCACGACCGCCCGAACCCTGCAACCCAGCTAGCTCTTTTGAACGGTTCTGGGTTTCCTTGTAAATGCGCCAGTACAGAACACTCATTATTGTCACAGGCAGATAGAAAGCTGCCATGGCTGTGCAGAATGTTATGGGGGGATCTGAGAGGAACTGAATGTAGCATTGATCTGAGGGCACAGTCCTTTGACCCTCAAAATACTGCCACAGCAGGATGGCCGGGGCCCACAGAACCAGAGACACAAACCAGGCTAAGCCAATCATGATCCCAGCACGCTTTGTGGTCCGTTTGGCCCGGTAGGTCAAAGGCCGGGTGACTGAAAAGTAGCGGTCAAAGCTGATAACTAGTAAGTTCATAACTGATGCATTGCTTGCCACATAGTCTATAGCAAGCCACAGGTCGCAGGCCCAGTTGCCCATGGCCCAGTAGCCCATCACAAGGTACGCTGTGTAGAGGTTCATGGAAATGACTCCGATAATGAGGTCAGCTACAGCTAAACTCAACAGGAAGTAGTTATTGACTGTCTTTAGCTGGCGATTAACCTTAAAGGATACCACCACCAGAACGTTGCCGATGATGGTGATCAGTGACAGCATACCTGTCAGCAGTACAATGAGGACAACCTGCCACACAGGGTGGCCACCCAAGGGGTCAAGGACTGTTGTTTCATTCCCATCTGGGGATTCTGTGGTGAGGTTAAAGAGTTTGCTGGTGGAGGAGGAATTATCATCCAGAGTATTCACATGGAAAACTAACCAGGGGACTCCACCAGTTCCTCCTTGGTGAAGAGCATTAGACTGTGGATAGGCTCCGGCAACTGGTTGTGAGGTGTTGGCAGTCAGGAAGAGACCAAGGTCTGTGCTGTTGGAGCTCATTGTTATGTTCTGGCATTATCTGAAGGGAGAGACAGAAAAGGGAGGTAGGGAGGGATCGAGAGAGGGAGGGAGAAAGGATATGTGAGAAGTTGACATTCCTATTCACATCCAGTAGGTGAGGCTAGAAATCTATGCTCCCAGGCTGTAAAGACAGGCAATATTTGGTCTAATTTGTCTCCTATAACATAATCGCTTATAACTTTGTTTGTGAACCATCTGTATGCACACTGTAAATGCATCGCAAGCCATATATTCAATTACAACTTGACATTTGAATCAACAAGGCTAGACAGCAAGAGAAAGTCAGAGAGAGAGAGTGAGATTGCAATCAACACCTGGTTCTTATGACACCCAGCAAATTGCAGAGACATTTCACTTACACACAGGTAATATATTTCCCTATCCCTGTCTAGTCTGTAAAGATGTCTGTATTCAAACTTCCCCTTGCATAACATTAGCCCTCGGGGCAGGGATGGTTTTCTGCTGTCAGATCAGATGTAGAGTTGGCACATCGGTGATCTATATTCGAAATTTAACTCTGGTGTATAGCTACAGAGTGAAACAAAGAAAGCGAAGACAGATTTTAGACAGATAAAGCTATGCAGAGACAAAACTAAACGGTGAGACAGAAAGAAGATAGTACAGAAAGAGCTAATATCGCAGGGTGATCCCGAAGAGCATGAGTGGTGTTTTCTGTTTGATTTGGGATCCCTTCAGATGGAGAGGCAAACAATAAATAGAAGATCCTGCTGTTTTTATCAAAGCGTTTCTTGTTAATTGGATAATAGGATGAAAAACTACCAGTTTGTAAAGCAGCATGTTCTATTCACTTCACAAGTTCTGCTGTGCAATCATTTATAATTACTGTGGCGGTTTGCATTTAGATATATGCATGCATATGTGTTGGTGTGCTGAAAACAACAAAAGAGAATAAAAACAGATGCAACAACAGCAACACATGGAGTCAAGTGAGGAAAGTAGGTTTTCTCAAAGGTGTAAGAGCAGAGTGTGACTAGTATTTTGTAAATCCCTCTTAAGTTACATCACACGTTTATAAAAATCAGCAGATTTGCATAAAAGCTTGCTGCATGTTCTTTGTAAAAAAGTATCCGTTTCCAGTATGTGTATCTAAGTATATAGACAGTAGTATGATTGAATAAAATGTATTTAATATGTATAAATATGTTTAAAGATGTATGTTTTTTCTTGTGATATATTTGGGTTAACATGGGTTTTATAGCTCAGCATTTGATATAGCACCAGAACTCTGTTAGGTAACAGTGTGATAAGTGTCTTGGTACATTTGCAAACATCAAATAGAACAAAAATTGCTGTTTTTTTTTCAACTTGAAAATTCTAGGAATCAATACTCAAATTTTGATTCATCTTAAATTAACTGAGAGTGATTGTACAGAGTGCAGCGCATCACCCTGTGCGTTCTTTTTATTGTGAAAGGGAAGAACGTGCTGTTCTTCTGCTGACTATTATGAAAACGGCTCATTTTAAACCTAACACAAACCTGAGCCAGTCTGTGAAGGGAACAAACTGTGTGGGACCAGCAAAAATATCTAAGCCCTCCTCTAACCCACCCAAACCGCTTACATGCCCCATTTACACAAGTATGTAAGCACGACTATCGTGGTCCCATAATGTACGAAATGTGAATCGCACACACAGTAGCTCATCCCTCAGGGAAAGGCATTTGAATCTGAGTGATGCACCTGTGCCCAGACACAATTTCAGACCTCCCGCAGAGCTGTTAAAGAACCCCAGTAGCCAACAGCATCTCACAGCCGTATGTGACACCGAGCGCACACTGCTACTACTATTATCAGAAGGCTCCCCGCTGTCTCCGCTGCGGACACGTATCACTTCATCGATAGTACGCTCTCATATTTCAAATAGCTTCTGTTACATCATGGTAGCAACCACTGTCACATACAGACATCATGTGCATAGAAGCATATACTATATGCATGCACACATAAAATGCACCGGGTGTGTGAAAAACCAAACCAGACAAATACAAAGACAAAGAACTGCAACATCTATGAAAGACAGCAAACTAAAAAGCCTCTTAAGAAAACAAAGTCTACTTTAAACTTTTTTTTAACAAAGAGCATGTGTGGCAGTACTGTGCTGCTAATGAATGTTAAACATCTTTTAATTGGCTTACGGGGGCAAAATGTGTCTGTGCGAAGATAAGGGCTTAAACAGCTGGGAAATCAGTCTTTAATCTGCTACCTTGACTTGTTGTAAACACAGAGGGTGGATAAATGAGTTCGGAAAAACAAACAGTAGATTTTTTTAAGAATTAAAAAGGAAATTCACTCAAACGTCAGCGAGTTGCTCAGCGTCCTGTGTGAATACAGCATAGGAGGAGGAAAGTCTGGATCCTATGGGAAAAGGCCAAATGTCAGACTCTTTGAGAGTTACAAGACGAATCAGCGTTGGAACTGGTGGGTCAGGAAGTCACTCAGATGCAGGGATGCGCAGGAGCCATCACGCTGACATGACAAAGGACGAAATCGTTTCTGTTACGCTCAGTTGGGGAAGCAGTCAAATATGCAATATCAAAGCTGTGTGTGTGTAAATATAGATACATACTGTATGTGTGTGCATATGAGCGCTGTTAACGAGCGGTGGTCTGTTTCCATGTGCAACACTGACTTATACCTCAGCAAACATAATTATACATGAAACAATTACGGTTTGCTGTTGCTTCCGATTGCAACGGTTATCTAACATAAATTTACATCTGCAGTCCCCTGAGAGCAGGACTGGCTGCACAACAGAGCCGGAGTTGTTTTCGTATTGTTTGTTTTCCCCTAAAATTGAAAAGCCCTTTCAGATGAAAACTGCATGTGACAGATGACAACATCCTTTTCCAACATGGGTGGGCTGGACCTCTGCAAACAGCTGCTATTACCTCGAAGCCTCTATAGTGTCTCTCTCTCTCTTTCTCTCTCTGTCCAGGTCAGCATTAAGCCCTATATCTTAAGTTTGACTCCCAGGCACGTAGGGAGCTAGTTTCAGGTACACAGATGGATCGATACTCGTTTACTGCGTTGTAACACAACTTGTTCTCTGACATTTTGAGGAATTTGGCCCAGCAGGGTTGGACAGCGCAATCCAAGCTGGGTCCAAGGATCCATCTGAATGATTGGGTGACTAATGTATGCCCATTTCAGGCTTCTATTTTGGGCAACTAATTTAGCAAAGCAGTAATAGAGGATAACGATGTCCAACAAGGATGAGCTATCTAGACAAGTGCTTCCTATTAAAGGTTAAAGCTCTTATAATTTAAATCCTAAAACCTCTTTAGAGCCACAACATAGCTTTAGTTAAAGGGATACCAGCGTTTATTTCTGATTATTTTAACCAACAGTGTCTTTGATTTAAAACAAAATAAAAAATATTTCACAGCTTGCTTTTGTCATGCTGCCACATCCAAAGTTTTACTAATTGGTCTCCCATTGCTCATTTACTGCACTTTTTGCTGGAGTCAGAGGCAGAAAATCTGGAGGTGGACAGTGATTTTAGCAGTTATCATAATCAGGCATTATTTTAGAAACAACTCAGGCATAAGCAACCTCAACACAAACAGATCGTACGAACAAATGAGGCAGAAATACATTCAGTCACATAGGTGGAGAAAACCGATCAGCAATTACCTAAATTAGAGTACAACTGTCATGCATTGACAGATGCAATCAGATGTTCTGCAATTATAATCACCAAATTGGCAGTTCTTTGCTGTCATGCAGTGACAGATATCAAGTGTAGGAGAGTCAGAACTTAAAATAATGACACCACTGACTGTGTACTAAAAGCTACACGGTCCTCAATTTAATCTCATAAACATGTATTTTGACAACAGTCGGCTAAATCACATCAGCGAAGCCTCGTCTGTTCCCGAAAGCTGGATGATGTGATGCTGCGCGATAAGAGATAACACTCGAAGATATGCCCCGTCTAATGCAGGTCATGCTGAGTGAAGATGGCGAGGGTGCTTGTTTCAGGGTGAAATGTGATCTGGTAAGTAGTGCCACAACACCGACTGCGCTGTGGAGTTATCGATTCTGTCTTTTGAGCATGGGGAAGCAGCCTTGCTGGTAAACACAGACTGAAGCAGTCTGACCGAGGCGTTTTATCTTACATTTGCAAATGCTACACCAACAACTGACGCAACAACTGCAGTGGCATTTGCTAAAATTAGACTTAAAGAAAGGAACAGCCCCAAACACATGCAGCTCCGACATGTTATGCCCAGAAACAGGACATTAGTTAATATCAGGGCATGTTGGTTCAGTACTGAAGAAGGTTCTGGGTTTGAACCTGTTTGTCTGCTGGGACCTGGTCAGTGGGGAGTTTCTCCGGTTGGTCCAGCTTTTCTCCCACAGTCAAGTTGGTTTATTGCTGGTCCTAAATTGTCTGTTTCTCTGTGTGAGTCCAAATCATCAACTGTTAGATTCCACTTTCAACCAATGACAGCTGAGATAGAAAGTCCCCCTCAACCTCCTACAGCATAAAGCAGGGAAAGCTAATGGATGGATGAACAATAGCCGATAGCTTGGGGGGCATGAAACTAATACCTGTACACAGTTTGTCCCCAAGTGTAGACCAGCCATCCCTTGATCTAGACACATACACACACCGACAACCACAGAAAGACAACATACAGTGCAGGTCTGGAGGTAAATCAATAGATAAATGTTTCGTTAGAGTTATTCCTGGATATACAGTATGTGTCATATAAACCACAAAAAGGCCCTGACTCCGGTAGCCCAAGCAACAACAACATTACTCTCTGCCTAGATACTTTGCTCTTCGGCACAGTTAAAAATGAGCACTTAAAGAAGTTAATTAAAGTTATTAATTAGGTATAAATTAGATCCAATGATCTATTTACAAGAGTTCTTCGAGCCAATTAGCCGCTAGACACCGTTCTTTACGTTCATTGTAATTCTATCCTCCACCTTCATCCGGGTCGTCCAGGG